GGGAGGTGGACAAGGGCTGCTGGCGGCAGCGCTAGAGGACAGCACAGGCAGGAGATCCTGTGTAGTGTGGGCTTCCGTGTGCTGGGCCCTGGGCTGTGGCCACACGCTTGGGGGTTCTGAATGGGCATGCGTGTCACCTGCAGCGTGTGGGGAACGTGTACGTGCTCCGGGAGGTGTGCACCTGTGCAGGAGCGGCTTCTTAGTAGAGGTCCAGATGGTGGCTTTCAAAGCACGTGTCACCTGCGGTCCGACAGCGCATTTCCTGGGATCGTGCTGGAAACCACCTCCTACCGCCCCAGCCGCCCAGTCCAGACCCACTTTGTCTGCAGGGCTTTACATTTTTATTAATTCTTACTAAAGGGCAGAGAGAGAGAGCAAGCGAGTGCTCTTCCATCCACTTGTTTTTGCCCTCAATAATCAGGGCTGGGCTAGGCCAACACGAGGCGCTGGGAACTCCAGCTGGGTCTCCCACGAGGGTGACAGGGACCCTCGCGGTCCCTGAGCCGTTGGCTGCTGCTTCCCGGGGTGTGTGTTAGCAGGGAGCTGGAAGCAGAAGCGGAGCGGGGACTCAAAGCCAGGCTGTGTGGCCGGGAGGCGGGCATCCCACGTGGCGTCTTCACTGTAGCACAGGGCCCGCCCTGGCTCTGCGTCTTGGAGGACCACGGATCTAGGCCTGCCCCTCTGTGTTCCTCCTGGAGCTCCCAGGGCTTGAAGAGGAAGGAGCAGGACGGCACTCACATCTCCCAGGACCTGGCCGGGACGTGGTGCTCACCCACACGCCCTCCGAGTGTGCTCAGCGTGAGGGCAGAGCCCTGGGCTGACCTTGGCACAGGGGTCTCGGCCGCCGCCCTGACCTTGCTCTTTCTGCTTCTTCCTCCTCGGGAAATCCTGGAACTGCCGAGCCTCACCCTGAAGGTCAGTGCTGGCAGCCAGGGAGACCCAGTGCCTGAGGCAGCCATGCACAGACGGGCGGGTGGCAGAGAGGCCTGGCGGGCCCCGGCCGCGTCCACGCTGGTGCACAGACAGCAGGAGCCAGGTGGGATGAGTGGCTGCACGCTGTGACAAGGCCTGGGAGAAATGCACTTTGCGGAGAGGGTGGCCGGGACAGACCCTCACCGCCTTCGGAACTGTGCTCAGAAGCCACCTGCCCCCGGTGGGGGACCTGGGCTGGGAGGGGCGGAGTTGCCTGCCTCCTGCCTGGCCTGGAAGGCAGCGGTCTCCTGTCCATGGGCCAGAATCCAGCCTGCCGTATCTCTGGGGAGTGAGCTCCAGGACCTGTGGCCATGTGGCGTGTCGGGAGGGAGGTGCCTTCCTCCGGAGTCCCCGGTATGGCCCAGCGCGACCCTCCTCGGCTTCATTGCCCTCCCACTCCATTCCCTTCCTGCCCTGTGCCGAGTCCCTCCGCTCTGGCACTGGCCTGGCAAGGACGGGGGAGATCAAGGCTTAGGGGCACCGTGGGTCCTAGCAGAGGGGACAGAGCCAGAGAGGGCTGAGCCTCCCCTGGGTGACACTGAGATCAGAGGGGCACCAGGGTCTGACTCAAGGCACCGGCTGCACTCAGCTGCAGGAAGTGCTTCCTCAGGCCCACCTGTGGCCCTGCCTCCACTGCGGGGCCTGTAGGCCTGCAGGCTGGCTGATCCGCACCCCTGCCCCGGCTCCTGCGTCTCCTGCCTCCGCTGCGGGGCCTGTAGGCCTGCAGGCTGGCTGATCCGCACCCCTGCCCCGGCTCCTGCGTCTCCTGCCTCCGCTGCGGGGCCTGTAGGCCTGCAGGCTGGCTGATCCGCACCCCTGCCCCGGCTCCTGTGTCTCCTGCCTCCGCTGCGGGGCCTGTAGGCCTGCAGGCTGGCTGATCCGCGCCCCTGCCCCAGCTCCTGTGTCTCCTGCCTCCGCTGCGGGCCCTGTAGGCCTGCAGGCTGGCTGATCCGCACCCCTGCCCCGGCTCCTGTGTCTCCTGCCTCCGCTGCGGGGCCCTGTAGGCCTGCAGGCTGGCTGATCCGCACCCCTGCCCCGGCTCCTGTGTCTCCTGCCTCCGCTGCGGGGCCTGTAGGCCTGCAGGCTGGCTGATCCGCGCCCCTGCCCCGGCTCCTGTGTCTCCTGCCTCCGCTGCGGGCCCTGTAGGCCTGCAGGCTGGCTGATCCGCACCCCTGCCCCGGCTCCTGTGTCTCCTGCCTCCGCTGCGGGGCCTGTAGGCCTGCAGGCTGGCTGATCCGCACCCCTGCCCCGGCTCCTGCGTCTCCCGCTTTCCCGGCTCCCGCTGCCAGCCCTGCAGTGGGGCTCCCGCAGGGGCCCCCACCCTGTCTGCACACCACTTCCTTTCCCCTGTTGCCCACAGGGATTGGAAATCCCGGTGGTCAGAGCCCATGGGCCTGGAGGCCTGCGTCAGCCGTGGGGAGGATGAGGGGAACCCCGTTCCCCTTTCGTCAGCTCTGCTCTCAGCTCAGCCCGTTCCCGGGAGCCTGAGGTGGCAGGGACAGAGGGCAGGCTGGGAGCGGCGGGCGGGGGCCTGCGCGGCCTGGGCATCCGCTAAGTGCGGAACGACAGGCTGGTGGCACCCGGTTGGTGCAGTGGTGGGGGCTGAAGGGGGGAGCCCCAGGCGAGTGGGGGTGAGTGGAGGGTTAAAAATAGCAGCGGCCGGGTTTCGGTTGGCAAATGTGGAGGTGGGCGGGCGGTGTCTGCCTCCCCGGTCCCCTGAGTCACCCAGGGCAGCACCCCACACCCACCCCGCCCCACGGAGCAAGCAGTCCAGGGGCGTGTGACGGGGGAGGGGTGAGTGGAGGGGCACGTGCCCTGCCGGGCCAGTGAGCGGGGTTTGCTGGCCGTGAACCGTCACAGGGGCACCCACTGTTCTGTAGCCCTCGCCCAGGCTGTGGGGAGGCCTCTGCTCAGACCCTGGGGCCGCTAAAGCTGTGCCCACTGCAGAATGTCAGGAGCCTCCCCCAGCCCTGAGGCCTCGGCAGGCCCCTGTCTGTCCTGCAGAGGCTGAGGGGCCGGGGGCAGGCACACTGCCCTCTGTGCCTCAGTGTCCCCAGCCGCCACGTGGGGAAGACTGGAGGAGATGACGTCGGCCAGGCCAGCTCCCAGCCTGGCGGGAGTGAGTGCACGCTGGGCCCGTCCCTGCAGTCGGTGTTGCCGATTGTAGTTCTGAGACAGGAGTGGGGAATGCTGAGGACACGGAGAGCAGACGCTGGGCCCGGCCCCAGTTCTCAGAAAGAAAACAGGCCGCATTCCCTGCTCCAGATTCCTGCACCCACGAGAGCCCGGCGCGGCGGGTGGGCGCCTGCTCCTCCACACCCTCGCTTCCCAGGGAGGCCGGGCAAGGGGACCCTCGCCAGCCGGGGAGGGGCGGGAGGTGGGCACTGCCAGCATGGCGTCTCCATACACAGTGGACAGGCATTTGCTGAGCCAATCCTGCTGGGTGTCTAGCCCGTCCAAGGCCCTCAGCTGGACCCAGGGGACACAGGGTGCTGGGTGGGTGGACGTGGCTGGAGGGTCGCGTGGCCTGGTTCTCTGCCGCCTCTCGGGTTGTGACTGTCGTGTGTGGGCTGCTGCAGGTGGTCAGAGAGCAGCATGTCCGCCCTCACCACAGGGTCGCTTGCTCTCGCCATGGAGGCCCCTGCACACCTGCAGGTTCCTGTCTCACCCAGTGCCCGCCTAGCGCTGTCCTAGCGTCCAAGCTGGGGAGACCCCTGCCGGGTGCAGATGGGAGTCAGAACACCTGGAGACCCTGCGCTGCGGAGTTCTGCTGCCCTCTGTGACACCAGTTGGGCAGATCCTCTGGGTCTCTGTCCCGAGTGAGTGCCAGCATTCGCGTGGCCTCCGCCTCGCTCCCCGCCGCTGTCCTGCAGCCTTGCCCCTGCTCGGGCTGCACAGGGCTTCTCGCCTGTGTCATTCACGCACAGCCAGGGAGGGCCGTGTGTTCTGTCGCACTGTGCTGGAGGCAGCTCACAGGAAGCGGTGGTGTGCTGGAACGCACATCTGAAAAGAGGGAGAACGCAAGAAGAAAAAGGAAGTGAAGGTAGGGGCCGCCTGCTGGGGACCAGGTGGGCACTGCTTCGGGCCATCTCTGGATGGGGCCCAGCCTGCCTGTGGAGCTGCTGGCGGAAGCAGGAGCAGGGCCAGACTCGGAGGCTGAGTGTGAACTTCGGTTCTGGAGTCCTGGCCACTCCGTGGCTGTGACCTTGCCATGTCGCCTGCCCTGCCTGTCGCCGGCTGCTGTGAACTCTGCCGGTCCCCGGGCCGTGGCAGCCGGCAGTGCGGCGCAGCCTGGGTCAGTGCCGTTGCTGACTCCTCTCTTAACAGCATGGCCCCGTGAGCGTTGTCTCGGCCTGGCTGAGCAGCCTTGGGGGTGGCGCATCCCTGGCTTACCCCACAGCCGCGAGGAGGAAGCTTGGACTGGTGGGAGTTGGGTGCGTGGGGAGCCAAGGCCCAGCAGACGAGGGCCCAACGAGGAGCCGGCGGACTTGTGAGGCTCTCGAGGGGAGAGGAGCCTGCAGAGGCAGCCCTGGGTGGCAGCTGCTGTGCCCAGCTGCAGAGAGGGGTTGCTGGCCCGAGGGGGCAGGGCGTCCCAGGCAGAGCCTGGCATACCTCAGACTCGCCCCACGCTGCCACTGGGGCCACAAATCTTGCCTGCTTGGAATGTTTTCATGTGGCAGGAAAGAGGGTGGTAGTGAGACATCGTGGTGAACTTCCTGTGGTAGGGATTGGAGACGCTGGGGGACAGATGTGGACTTGGCTCTCCCAGAGCTGCCAGGGCCTGAGGAACCCCAGGGCCCCATCAGCCTGAGGGGGCAGGAAGCCGGTGCGTGGACGTGGGCTCTGTGGGTGCCACCGAGAACCAGCTGTGCCCTCTGCATCCTTGGGCAGGTAGTGCAGGCCCGGGAGCCGATGGCCTCAGGCCCCAGCCATGTCCCCTTCCATGAGGGCGGCCCCCCACGGCTCTGGGGAGCCGGGGAACGGCCTCCCCCCCCCCCCCGCCCAGCACGAGCTGCCGCTGCCATGGTTACATCTGCTTCCTGTTTGATTCATCTCAGCAGAAGGCAGGCGCAGCTCAGGCTCGGCCCCCACTCCGTGGAGCTGTTTACAGCAGCCGCGTGTGGGATTCCCAGAAAGAGACTCCAAACCGGACGTCCTGCGGCTGCAGAATACCCAGGTGTCAGGAGCTAAAAATAGCTGCCCAGCGGTGGCGGGGACAGGGGCGTGCCCACGGCCTCCTGCTCTGGGGCGCACAGCCGCCCTCTGCCTCAGTGCTCTGGGCGCTGTGGATGCCCTGGTTAGATGGCCGGCTGCTCACCTGACCACTGACCTCTGCCTGTGCCAGACGGGCGGTGCACGGCGGGTGGACTGGGGCGGGGGGCGCTTGTGCCCGGAGCCAGGCGGACGTGGTCTCTCCTGAAGCAGCCGCCCCGTGCCCGTGCACGGCGTGGGCACTGTGACCTGGGCCGTTGCGTTCAGTGGTGCTTGGGGCAGATCTCCCAGGTGCCCCTCGGCCGCAGCAGGGCCTCCGTGGGGCTGGCTGAGTTCCCCGTGTTTGCCGGAGCCCTCGTGGGGCCCATGTTTGGTGGGCACAGGTGGGCTGTGGCTGTGCACAGAGCCCAGCTCAGCCCCTCTCCAGTGAGCCTGGACGAGCTAGGGTCGCTGGACCTCAGTGCGCTCACCTGCGTGGGGGCTTGAAAACAGGAGCTGGCTCAGAGGCTGATGACCAGCGTTAGGTGAGTTGGCAAGTGTGAGAAGCTTGGAGCAACGCACACGGGAAGTGTGAGCCCACACGTGTTCACATGGAAGAAGGGAGGAACCCAGAGGTGGGCGCGGCGGGGGAGAGAAGTGCGGGCGCAGCTGAGGGGAGTAGAGTGGGGAGCAGGCACAGAGGCGCGTGCTGTGGAGTGGGGGCCCCGCCGTGCTCCTCAGCTGCTCCCGGGACTCCTCACCGCTGCCCTGCTGGTCTCTGTCCTGCCAACCCCAGCCCTCCTCTGGGCAGCCCCGCGGGGCTCCGTGCAGGCTGCTGAGCGGTGAGAGAACCCCTGGGAGGTGCACGGGGAGCGGTTGAAAGGGCTGGAGGCGGGAGCCCAGGCGGGAGAGGGCCCTGTGCTTTGTGCTCTGTGGGCTCTTGGAGTTCTTGTCATGTCTGCACCTGTGTAGCTCTTAACTTTCCCTTCGAGATGCGGGCCGTATTTGAAACTCCTTGGGAGGGAGAGCCAGTTTCATTGGTTTCCCTGTCCCTTCAGCCCCTGCTCTGGCTGTCCACGGAGGTCCTGTCTGCCTGTGCTTGCTGTCAGCCTCTTGGTCTTGTCCCCACTGGCCTGACCCGGCCTGCCTGGGCTGGTGCCAGCCTGCTGGGTGGCTGTGACCAGCTCCTGCCCGCACCTTCCCTCTGAAGCCCCCTCAGCAGAGTGTGTGACCAGACACCTGGAGGAAGAGCCCCTCACCAGCCCTCTGCCCTCTCCCAGCCTCGTCTGCCACCCCCCACGTTCTTGGTTTATTCTTGAGTTTCCTGCTGGCCCCGTGCAGGGGCTGGGACGGGTCTGGGGCTGGGACTTGCCATGAAGGACCCAGGCCCTCCGTCTGCTTCTGTTCAGGCTCTCGGAAGGGAGGGGGATGCCGGGCGCAGGGGGAGGGCTGCACGGGGAGCCTTGGGGATCCTGTCCAGCCCAGAGCTCTGGCAGATCTGTGGCGTCTGTGACTGCGGCGCAAGTGCCAAGGGTGGGGCAGACCCCTGGGCAGAATTTCTGGGGGGTCTGCTTGTGGAGCAGGCCGGGCGGGTCCAGGTGCCCGGGGCCAGGTAAACTGCTTCTTGCTATGCTGTAGCTGTTTGGAAAAATGGCAGAAATGGGACTGCTCCCCAGCCTGCAGAGTGCAAAGGCTCCTCGATCCGTTTCCTCCTCGGGCAGCTGCCTTCACCAGCTGGGGAGGGGAGTGGGTGCAGGGCCGGCGGGTGCTGTCACCTGCACGGGACACACCGACACCTGCCCCAGGCTCCGTAGAACGCGCTGGCCCTCGGCAGGGAGCCAGGGCGGGTGCAGGAGTGTAACCCTGCCAGGAGTGGCTGTGGAAGCCTGCAGCTTTCCGACGGGTACGGCACAGATCCTCCCCACCAGTCCTCCCTCTGGGGCCTGGCAAGGAGCTCCACACAGTTCAGAGCCATTACCCCTTCTGTGCAGTGCACAGTGTCCAGCACCAGTGGCCGCCAGGGGCGAGGCGTGGAGAACCTGGGCCTGTTCTCTGTGTCAGTGCTGCTGGCCAGCCTGGGCAGGGGACTGACGCCTGGCGTGGCCCCTTGGGACGTACCCAGGAGTCCAGTCCAGCAACCTGTGCTGGGTGAGCAGACCCTGCAGGACAAAGAGGAGTTTCTGGGGGAACCCATGTGGGTGCCTGTCCCAGTGAGGGTGCCTGTCCCAGGTGGGTCCCTGTCCCAGGTGAGGGTGCCCGTCCCAGTGAGGGTGCCTGTCCCAGGTGGGTCCCTGTCCCAGGTGGGTACCTGTCCCCAGTGAGGGTGCTTCTCCCCGGTGAGGGTGCCCATCCGGGTGGCTGCCTACCTCTGGCACAGTGTTCTTGGGGCTCACCGACCCCAAGACACCTTGGTACTACATCTTGGGGGTAGCCAGGAGAGACTGTGTCAATCTCATGTCCAGAAGGGTGTGAGGTAAAGGTGGGTGCTGTCGGTGGGCCTCAGGTGGGCAGAGTAGAAGAGGAGCAGTGGTGTCTGCAGGTGGTCAGCGTCTCCGTGTCTAGCACTGCCCACAGGGGTCTCCCTGGCTTCTGTGGCTCAGATCCACAGTGCAGCCACCGCTGTGTCCCTGCGGTGACTTCTGGGTCAGGGGTCTGGGAGGGGCTGCTGCGCAGAGAAAGATTGCGTCTCAGGGGTACAGGGGGAGCTGGGTGGTCTCTCGCAGAGGAAGATTGCCTCTGAGGGTGTGGGGAGGGGCTTGTGGTCTCGCAAAGCGTGTTGCATCTCAGTTACGGGGTGTGGGGGGGGCTCGTGGTCTCTGGTGCAGGGGAGAGGATTGTGGGTGGCAGCCTAGGAGGGTCCTCGGCCTGTACTGTGCATTCTGGCTCCCACCAGCTCTGCCCTGACCACCAGGCCCTGCCCAGCCCCTCTCCCTCCTGGCCTCTCCCTCAGGCCCTGCCTCTTTCCTGCAGGCTGCGGGGGCCTGGCTTGGCCCCCAAGGGTGACGGTATCTGACCACACTGGGGCAGCTGATGTGTGAACCTGATTCTGCAGGTGGATCAGGACGGGGAGGGCCCAGGGGTCCCTCACAGCCAATGAGATTTGAAGAAAGGAAGGGGAGCCCTCTCCAAGTGGTGGGGCCCACAAGGGATGCAGGCTTTGCACCCCCACCCCGTCCCTGCCTCTCACTCTGTCTTCTCTCTGCAGATGGGAGCCAAGTGAGCCAGGGCCCGCTACTCCAGTGCCCCCCAGCACAGGTAAGAGGCAGTCTGAGGGAGCCCGAGGTGGGAGATGAAGAGGAGGGGTGTAGGGGTGCAGTGGCAAGAAGTTGGGGGAGGGGAGGAGCCAGGAGTCAGAGAAGCAGGGGTTGGGGAGCCAGAGGAAGGAGGGAGCCCAGGGGAGGAGAGGAGCTGGGGGAAGGGAGGAGTTGGGGAGGGATCGGGGAGCCAGGGATGGGGGGTGGGGGGGCCAGGGGAAGGAGGGAGCTGGGTATATGTGGGAGCCAGGAGAGTGGGAGTAGCTGTGGGTTGGAGAAGTGGGGGAGCTGTTAACAAGCCACAGAGCTGGGAGGCTGGGTGGGGCGGCCCAGTGCCCAGCAGAGAAAGGCAGACAGGGTCCTCTTGTCCTGGCGGGGCAGGAAGCAGGAAGGAAAAGGACGCCGGGGATGGTACGCAGACCCTGTCCGCCCCAGCCCTGGGCAGCAGGTGTGCGGTTTGTCCACAGCTGCAGTCTTCCAGGGGCAGCCCCTGTGGGAAGGAACGACTCCTCCTGGTGACGTGGTGCTCCCTCTTCTCCCTACTCCCTCCCTGCTGGCCCAGGACATGCCAGGGGGCTAGGTCTCCACTGGACAAGGCCCGCCTTGCCTTCACTGCAGTCCATGTCCCCCCGGGGGCCTGCTCAGTGCAAGATCCCAGCCTGGCGTGCGGCGACCCCACGCGGCAGAGAGCATGGAAGGCAGGTGTCCTCTGCCCCCGTCGGGGCTGGCCAGAGGCCTACAGGCAGGTGCGGGTCAGGTGACGAGTGAGAGGGGAAAGGCAGCGGTGGCCAGGGAGAGGAGCCTGAGCCTGGGGCCGCGCGTGTCGGGGGTCCCTGCTGCACCTGGCCTCTTGTGCAGCACTGGGCATCACCCCAGAAAGCCAGGACAGCACAGCCTGATGGGGGTCTTTCCTGGGCAGGAGCGTGCTGGTCTCTGAGACCCTGGCTCAGCCACAGGACCCCGCAGGGCCCCTCCCAGCTCAGGCCCTCTGCTGTGGCTCTCGCGGTTCCCCTCTTCCTCTCCCAAGAAGACACAAGAGCAGGGTGTGGCCTGGGCAGGTTGGGAGCCGTGCCCACTCTACCCCTTGTTGGGTGACCTTGGTGTTGCATCTGGGTTAGCAGAATGAGACTGGGAAGGTGGGCTGGCCCGGAGCTGTGTGCCTGCACTCCTCGCTGCTGGCCCTGGCCAGCTGGTCTGGCTGTCCCAGCTAGGGGGCGCCTGGTGTTGGGACCCTGAGGAAAGCCTCTCTGAAGGCTGCCCACTAGTGCTGTCCTGCGTCCAGCCTGCCCCTGACCGCAGTGTCGCTGCTGGGCTGGCCTGGACCTGGCCTGCTGGTGCTTATGAGTAGTCTCTGTACCTTGGCAGGAGCTGAGCCCAGCCCTGAGCTGCTGTGGGAAGTGCCCACAGGCAAGCCCCTGGGCGAGGGGACCAGGAGACCTGTGCTGGGAACAGGGCTCTGCAGCCCTATGGGTGGCCGGGGCTGTCACCTTCCTCCCGAGACCCGGGATAGATGGGCAGGGGAGTGCGCTGCAGCAGAGTGGGCCCGCTGGCCTGCCTGGCTACCTGGCACATTCTGCAGTCCCAGGGCAGGGGGGTAACTCAGGTCTCGATTCAGATACCACCGGCTCTGGCTTGCGACTGCCCTTGGGGACAGCACCTGCCTTGTGGGTCCCCGGGGAGACCCAGCGGAGCAGGCCCCGGAGGGCCCCGCAGGCCCACCTGAGGGCCCCCCTTCCCTGTCCCCAGGCTGCCCCACACCCTGCACGGACACGCCCGGTCCTCAGCGGCAGCCCATGGACCTGCGGGTGGGCCAGCGGCCCCCCGTGGAGCCCCCGCCGGAGCCTACACTGCTGGCCCTGCAGCCGCCCCCCCAGCGCCTGGGCCACCACCTCTTCCTCCCGGGCCTGCAGCAGCAGCGCGAGGCAGAGCCCATGAGGGTAAAGATGGAGCCCCCCCACCGCACCCCTCCCGTCCCCTCCCCTGTCCCTCCCGAGCTGCCAGCCCCGCCCACCGCTCTCCGTGGATGCGCAGGTGCCGGCGTCACAGGGGCTGCGGCAGGAGCAGGAGCTGCGGCAGCTTCTCAACAAAGACAAGAGCCGGCGCAGTAAGGACGGACACGGCCGTGAGGGCCTGCGGGAGTCCCGGCTCTGCCTGGGCTGGGGCTGGGGGCCGGGGGCCGGGGGCTCAGCTCTGGCCTGGGCAGTGGCAGCGTGGCCGCCTGTCGCCCAGCCCAGCCCTCTCGTGGCCCTCGGGCCTGCAGGTGCCGTGGCCAGCAGTGTGGTGAAGCAGAAGTTGGCAGAAGTGATCCTGAAGAAGCAGCAGGCGGCGCTGGAGAGGACGGCCCACCCCAACGGCCCCAGCACCGCCTACAGGTGACCGCGTCCCGCCTGGCGCTCCCGGCCGTGCTGTCCCCTTCTCCTCCACGGTGGCCCCTTACCCCGCCCCCAGCTTGCTTCTGCACATGGAGCCCCTTCTCTGCGTCTGCTGCAGGGGACAGACAGCATCCCCAGGGGCCCGCGCTGGCCTCTGCCCGTGCTGCGCGGCCCAGCCCTGCTGGGGCCCTGCTCCGGAGCTTGCTGTGCAGAGCCAGGGGCTGCGCCTCCGCCTCCGACACAGCTGTGCTGCTCTCCGCAGGACGCTGGAGCCCTTGGAGACTGACGGAGCCGCCCGCTGCCCGCTCGGGCGCTTTCTGCCCCCTGTTCCCGGCCTGCCCAGTGACACCCCCGAGCACTTCCCCCTGCGCAAGACAGGTGAGCTGGGCAGACCACAGGGCCTGCGGGGGCAGAGGCCGGGGAGCTGGGCCGGGGGGGCTGAGCAGCTGTGTGCCCCCACCCACCCCGCAGTCTCTGAGCCCAACCTGAAGCTGCGCTACAAGCCCAAGAAGTCCCTGGAGCGCAGGAAGAACCCCCTGCTCAGGAAGGAGAGCGCCCCCCCCAGCCTGCGGCGGAGGCCGGCCGAGACCCTGGGAGGTGAGGGCCGCCGGGCTGGGGCTGGCCTTGTCCTTGCTCCCTGCCACTCCCATGGGCGGGGGTGTGCGTCGGGCTGAGTGACATCTGCTGAGATGCTGTGGGCCAGTGGGGCACCCTCATCCCCTCTGTGGGGCAAGTCCTGGCTGCAGAGGCTGCCTGCCGGGGTCGGACGGCTCCCCGGCGTGCCCACACCGGCCTCTGACCGCGCCGCCCTTTCTCCCTGACCCCCAGACTCTTCCCCCAGCAGCAGCAGCACGCCTGCGTCCGGCTGTAGCTCCCCCAACGACAGCGAGCACGGCCCCAGCCCTGTCCTGGGCTCCGAGGTAAGGCCCGCGTGGCCCCTTCCCCGGAGGACAGTTCTGGGGCCGTGCTGTCCCCCTGGGGAGCAGTGCCAGGGCTCTTACCCTGCTCCCCGTGGCAGGCACTCCTGGGCCAGCGCCTGCGGCTGCAGGAGGCCTCTCTGGCGCCGTTTGCCTTGCCGACCGTGTCCCTGCTGCCCGCCATCACACTGGGGCTGCCGGCCCCTGCCAGGGTGAGTGGCGGCCCCCCCACCTCAACCCCCCAAGACCCCCCTGCTGTCTGCCAGCTCCCCCAGGACCTCTGCTCTCCCCCAGGCCGACAGTGACCGCAGAGCCCATCCGGCTCTGGGCCCTCGGGGGCCTGTCCTGGGGAGCCCCCACGTTCCCCTCTACCTGCCCCAGGGCCTGGAGCCTGAGGCTGGGAGCACCCTGTCCTCTGGCCTGCAGCCGGTTCTCCTCCTGGACCCCTCAGCGTCTCGTGGCCCCCTGCTGACAGGTGAGTCCCCTGCCCACCCTGGGGAGGGCCCTGCTTCCCGCACCCCATTATCCCGGCTTCCTCCCTGCCCCACGCTTGCCCCTTATGCCCCACCCTGTTCTTTCCAGTGCCCGGCCTCGGGCCCCTGCCCTTCCAGTTTGCTCAGTCCTTGCTGACCCCCGAGCGGCTCTCCGGGTCAGGCCTCCACTGGCCGCTGAGCTGGACCCGCTCAGAGCCCCTGCAGCCACACCTGGAGCAGCTCAGGCCTCACCTGCCGCTGGCCGAGGTGAGCGCAGCAGGTGATGTGGAGGGTGTGCCTACCTGGTCTGGGGGCAGAAGAGGGCCTCCCCACACCAGCTGCTCACCCCATTCTTCCCTCCCAGAGGCCGGCCAAGCCCAGCGAGAAGCCCCGGCTCCGGCAGATGCCCTCCGCTGAGGGCCCGGGGCCAGACAGCGGTGGGGTGCGGCAGGGCGTGGATAATGGCCTTGAACACAGGGAGCCGAGCCACGGGCAGCCGGAGGCCAGAGGCCCTGTCGCACCTGCACGCCCCCCGCAGGTAGGGTCATGTCTGACCAGCTTGGAATGGGGGGGAGGGCACCAGTGTGCACAGCGCCCCCACACAGGGCCGTCTGCCAGCCCCGCAGGCCACATCCTACAGTAGCAGGTGCCACAGGTGCTGAGTCCCCTTCCCTCAGGTGCTGCTCTGGGAACAGAAGCACCTGCCTGGACCACCGCCCCGGGGAGGCACGGGGGACTGTGTGCTGCTTCCTCGGGCCCAGGGCGGGCACCGGCCGTTGTCCAGAGCTCAGTCCTCACCAGCGGCGCCTGCCTCGCTGCCAACCCCGGAGCCCGCCAGCCAGGCCCGCCTGCTGTCTAGCTCAGAGCCCCCTGCCCGGACCGTGCCCTTCACCACAGGTGAGAGGGAGGGGCTCGGGTGCACTCCTGGGGGTGCAGCGGGACTTTGCTGGCTCGTAGGGGGGACCAGAGGGCGGGGGTGGCGCCTCGGGCCAGCGTGAGCAGCCCAGTGGGAAAGCGTGGCGCTGCCGGGCCGCAGTGTGCCAGGGATTTTGAAAAACGCAGGAAGGCAAAAGATGGCACAAACAGCTGCCTCCTGAATTCTGCCACACTTGGGCCCACGTCCACGTGCCAGAACTGTGGAGGAGGTGCTTGGGAGGCCCTGTTGGCCCCGCACTGCACACGCTTCTTGCTGGCACCGGTCTCAGATGGAGACCCTGCGGTGGCCTCCTTGGCTGTGGCCGGGGTTTTGGGGGTTCCCCGGCCCCTCTGGGCTGTGCTCACAGGGCCCTCCTCTCCAGCTGACCTGGGCCAGAAGTCCTGTGGCTCTGAGCCCCAGGTGTGGGACGTCCTAGGGGCTCCTGCGCCCCGGGCGCTGGGCAGGCAGGGCTGCGGCCGTGCCAGCTGCAGCGGGTGCTCCCGGCAGGGCTGGTCTACGACTCCGTGATGCTGAAGCACCAGTGTCCCTGTGGGGACAGCAGCCGGCACCCCGAGCACGCCGGCCGCATCCAGAGCATCTGGTCCCGGCTGCAGGAGCGAGGGCTGCGGAGCCAGTGTGAGGTGAGGCGGGTGGGCCTGGGGCTGGCAGCAGGGGTGGGGGAGCGGGGCTCTGCGCCTGCCCTTCCACAGTGTCTGAGGTGAGGCGGGTGGGCCTGGGGCCGGCGGCAGGGGTGGGGGGAGCAGGCTCAGCACCTGCCCTTCCACAGTGTCTGAGGTGAGGCGGGTGGGCCTGGGGCCGGCGGCAGGGGTGGGGGAGCAGGGCTCAGCGCCTGCCCTTCCGCAGTGTCTGAGGTGAGGCGGGTGGGCCTGGGGCCGGCGGCAGGGGTGCGGGGAGCCGGCTCAGCGCCTGCCCTTCCGCAGTGTCTGCGGGGCCGCAAGGCCTCCCTGGAGGAGCTGCAGTCGGTGCACTCGGAGCGGCACGTGCTGCTGTACGGCACCAACCCGCTGAGCCGTCTGAAGCTGGACAACGGGAAGCTGGCAGGTAGGGCCCTGGCCGCCCCCGCCCGGCCACCCCTGCCCGCCGACCCCCTCGCTGCCCCCTCCTCACCACAGTGCCCCTCCCCCAGAGCTCCTGGAGCAGCGCATGTTCGTGATGCTGCCATGCGGCGGGGTCGGGGTAAGTGTGCCCAGCGTGTGTCCTCTGACCCGCCCCGGCTCCCTTCCCGCCCGAGAAAGGGGTTTGGGAGGTGCCCCTCACGGGGCTCCAGGAGCCCAGACAAGATCCCAGGTCGGTGGGCTGCCCGGCGTGGCCGCGGTGTGCCCAGAGGGTGCTGCAGACGCCCCCCTCGCCCCAGGTCTCGGCCCTGGTGGCTTTGCCCCCTCCCCCTCGCCCCCGGGGTGCCCCGGCCTGGCCTGTGAGGTGGAGCCCTCTGGAGCGGGTGCCACCGAGCGTCCTGCTCACCCCCCACCCCTGCCCGCACTTTCTGGTTCCCAACTGTTGTGCTTCTGTCTCCCTCCCCCTCTCCCTCTGTCTCTCTTCCTCCAGCCTCTTGCGACTGTCTCTGCCTTCCTGGCCTCTCTCGGTCGGCCTCGCCCTCCCCATCTCCCCACCATGCCCCCGGCCCCTCCCTAGCCTTGAGGCCCAGGGACTGGGTTTGGGGGCCTCCTGGCCTGGGCTAGGGGCCCCGAGTGGAAGACAGTGGTGCAGATGGCCCCTCCGGCTCCGACCGTCGGCAGGGCCTGAGCAGAGTCAGCTGGGGCCTAAAACCCCCCCGCCCGGCCCAAACCCCAAGTCCCGCCCAGGTAACGCCACGCCCCTCTCCCCTCCTCGGGGAGGCTGGTGTGATGCTGCCACTGACGCTGGGCGGACAGCTGGGAAGGGGCCCTGCTGGGGCTGGGGGCACAGGAGGCCATGCCTTTGGGCGGTGGGGCCCTGGGGAGGCAGCACTGTCTGCCCGGCTCCCTGCCCCTGGGGTCCCGGACCCTGGCCCCCGAAGGAAGCCCAGCATGATGCGGGCCCCGGCTCTGGCCCCGCAGGTGGACACTGACACCATCTGGAATGAGCTGCACTCCTCTAATGCGGCCCGCTGGGCCGCGGGCAGCGTCACTGACCTGGCCTTCAAGGTGGCTTCCCGGGAGCTGAAGGTAGGTGGCTTGGGGTACAGGAGGAGACCCAGGCCCCAGCCCTCACCATCCTGGATGCTGCCTCTGGGGTGCCAGGGACACAGCGGGCTCAGGGCCAGGGTGAGGTCTGGGCTCTCCAGGCACCCTGGAGCTATGACCCTGGCCCCCTCGGCATCCAGGGGATCAGGGTCCTATCGCCCAGGATGCCATGGCACTGCCTGCCACGTGCCTGCTTCTGCCCAGCGCGGAACTGCTCTGGGCTGCTCGCCCCATGGGAGCTCATCCCGAGGCCACGCCCAGGGGCCAGGGGCCTTTGTGCTCACTCTCCCTGGTGAGCCAGGGACAGTGTGGCTGGAGTCCCACCACAACCACAGCGGCGTCCTGGAGGTCCCGGCGGGTGCCAGCTGCAGAGCGGTGACAGCCAGGACACGCAGGCAGGGTCTCCGTGGTGCCAGGAGGAGCTGGTGTCCCCACACGAGGCTCCCTCTTTTTCCAGAATGGTTTTGCTGTGGTGCGGCCCCCAGGACACCATGCGGACCACTCCACGGCCATGTGAGGCCTGAGGGTGGAGGCGGGGGGGGGGTGAGAGCTTCCAGAGGGGGGTCCTGGGAGGGAATAGGCGATGAGACCTCTCTCCCACCCCCCACCAGGGGCTTCTGCTTCTTCAATTCCGTGGCCATCGCGTGCCGGCAGCTGCAGCAGCAGGGCAAGGCGAGCAAGGTCCTCATCGTGGACTGGGTGAGTGGGGCTCCCAGCCCAGAGGGAGGAGCCCACGCCTGGCTTGGGGGTGTGGCCTGCTGTCTTGTTCTGCACCAGGGCCCCAGGCCTCGGTTTCCCCGTGTGGGAAGTCTGGGCGACGATGATACTTGGATCTCTGCGTCGGGGGCCGAGAGACCCTGGACCGCGGCTGCCCTGGTGCCTGCTCGCGGGGCCACCTCAGCACCTCGTGCGGGACTGGGTGCCGCTCCTGCCACGTCCACCCCACACGTGCTCTCCTGGTGGCCTGGCCCCGCCCAGGGCTGCGTGTGGTCACTGCTCCATCGTCTGCACAGAGGGGGCGGGCACAGAATGTGCGTCACTCGGACGGGCTGGGGGGCCCGCAGCCGTGCGCGGAGCGGAGCGGAGACGTGAGACGTGTTTACTGCGGCGCACACCTCGAGATCCAGACAGTTCTCTCCCAGCGCGCGTCCATGGCTGCCTGCTCACACTGCAGAGATGTTTCTCTGCCCCTGCATGCGCACGGGGGCGGGGGGCTGCGTGTGGAGAGAGGGGCCTGGCGGCCGGCTGCCGCCAGCTGCCTCACCCCTGGCCTCCCGCGCAGGACGTGCACCACGGCAATGGCACGCAGCAGACCTTCTACCAGGACCCCAGCGTGCTCTACATCTCTCTGCACCGCCACGACGGCGGCAACTTCTTCCCGGGCAGCGGGGCCGTGGACGAGGTACCGCACGAGGGCCGGCCCTGCCACGCCGCCGCCGCCGCCGCCGCCGCCGCCGCGTCCCTCCCGGCGTGCAGAGCGTCGCAGTCCTTCCTCCCTCACCCGGGTCCTGTGTTCCAGGTGGGCGCTGGCAGCGGAGAGGGCTTCAACGTGAACGTGGCCTGGGCTGGAGGCCTGGACCCCCCTATGGGGGACCCCGAGTACCTGGCTGCCTTCAGGTGAGCGCTCTCGGGGCCTCCGCTTTCCCCAGTGGACTGGCGGGTGGGGAGCGAGCATCACTCGGCCTGCCCCCCCACCCCGTCACAGACACAGGCAGCCCTGCAGGGAGACAAGAGTGAGGTCCGGGGCACGTTGCGAGGTCACTTCGCTGAGCCTGTGTGGGTGCACGTGGCCGTGGGCAGGGCGTGGTGAGCGACTGCCGCCTGGACGGGGCAGCCAGGTCCTGGGCTGACTCAGCAAAGGCCATTGGGGAGGAGGACCGGGGAGCGCGTCTCCAGACACTCCCCTGGGCGTCCTCTGCAGGAGCCCCGGGTTTGGGCTGGGGCTGGTGGGCACAGGGGAGCCTGTGGGCACAGGCTGACCAGAACCTCCAAGGGACTGGGCACCAGCCAGCTCTCAGGTCACTACCAGCGAGGGTTCAGAGCATTTGAAGTCCCTGAGGCCCAGTGCCAGGGGCCCAGCTCGGCTGGCGTGAGGCTGCCCTACCCAGTGCCCTGCCCAGGCCTCCCCAGCTGTGCACACACCACATACACACACGCCATGCACACGCAAACCACGTACACCACAAGCACACCACACACGACCATGTCATGCATACACCATACACACATGCCATGCACATGCCCTCATGGACACACCATGCACATGAACACACTGCATGCACACGCCTGCACAGGAACACACCACACCACGCACACACACCCCTGCACATGAGCACACTGGGCACACACCCTGCATATGCCCTCCTGTTTCCTCTGGCTCCCTCTGCTTGGCTCCTCTCTGCCCCCTTGCTCATTAACTGCCCTGGGTGGCCGAGTCCCTGGGTGTGCCAGGGATGTGGGTGCTGAGTGGGGGCACAGGGCACGCCGAAGCTGCGAGGAGCAGGGGTGCTGGGAGCAGGACGCCTGCAGCCCTGTGCACCGGCCCCCCCCTCACCTTCACAGGACGGTCGTGATGCCCGTCGCCCGGGAGTTCTCTCCAGACCTGGTGCTGGTGTCGGCAGGGTTTGATGCGGCCGAGGGCCACCCTGCCCCCCTGGGTGGCTACCGAGTCTCTGCCAAATGTAAGGGGCCCGGCCAAGGTTAGGTGCTGGGAGCAGGTGGGCTTGCGGGCTGGAGCGTGCTGCTGGCCCTGCCGTGGCTCCTGCTCCGGCCCCAGGGTGTGGGGTCCAGGGGAAGAGGGGAGGTGGTTCTCAGAACAGAGGCCGCCCCCGGAGAGCAGGGAGGACATGGTGTGGCCTCGCTCCGGCCCCCCAGTGCCCTGAGCCTTGGGTGGAGCTCTGGGAGTCTGCAGGTGCCCGCACAGGCAGAGAACGGCCACACCCGCCACCCTGCCTGCCTGCCTCTCCCTCCCCAGGTTTCGGGTGCATGACGCAGCAGCTGATGAGCCTGGCAGGAGGCGCCGTGGTGCTGGCCCTGGAGGGTGGCCATGACCTCACAGCCATCTGTGACGCCTCGGAGGCCTGCGTGGCCGCCCTGCTGGGCAACAAGGTGGGCGGCCCCCATCCACGCTCCAGGTCCCCAGAAGGGACGGGGTGGGCAGGGCGGCTAAAGGGCTGCTCTATGCAGGTGGACCCGCTTGCAGAAGAGGGCTGGACGCAGAAGCCCAACCTCAACGCCATCCGCTCCCTGGAGGCTGTGATCCGTGTGCACAGTGAGTGGGGCCAGGGCACCTGCTGAGCCCACACCCGGGGGAGCCTGCTATGCCCCAGAGTCACTCTGCAAGGGCCCTCACACGTGGGTGTCCTCCGAGCCCTCCAGATGGAGCCTACGGTGGCCTCTGTGGGGCAGAGAGCAAGCTGTCCCAGCTCTCACCAGTCCTGGGCCAGGGCCAGCCTATAGCTACACTCAGGCCTGTTGGCTACAAGGCCCAGCTCCCACCGCTCAGCCCTGGCTGCGAGGGGCCAGGCCTCCGCCTGTCGTTGAGTGACCTCTCCGTTTGGAAAGCGCCTTAAAATTCAAATTCAGCTCAGCACCTCCAGGTCCTGAGCAGCGGATGCAGAGACCCAGGGTCTGTGCTAGGAGTGCAGAAATGGAGTGGGTACCCCATCCGGGTTCAGCAGCTGATGACTCTTACTGGACCCTCTGCTGGCCCGGCCTTGCACTGTTCCTGTTGATGTCCACGGTGGTGGGCAAGATGAGTGTCCCCTGGTCCCAGGGGACGCAGAGTGGCTGGGGTGAGGCTGGCCCTCCAGGCTGCAGGAGGCAGACCCTGTGCACTCAGGAGCCCTGCCTCTGTGGGGCCAGCAGTGGCCTTTCAGCCCAAGTGGTGAGGGAGAGGCAAGGCCCTGAGGCACCAACACAGCCACCCTGGTCAGGGCGGGGGTAGGGGTGGGGATAGAGGCTGGTGGAGTGCTGACCCCAAGCCGAGGACATGCTTGCCACTCCTCCGGCCCAGGCCCCTGCTCCCCAGCCCCTGATACGCTTCCTATCCCAGGCAAGTACTGGGGCTGCATGCAGCGCCTGGCCGCCTGCCCTGGCTCCTGGGTGCCCAGGGGCCCGGGGACCGACGCAGAAGTGGAGGCTGTGACAGCACTGGCATCCCTCTCTGTGGGCATCCTGGCCGAAGACAGGTAACACAGACCCTGGCCCTGCGTCCCCAGGATCTTCCCAGCCTGAGGACCCGAGCCCTGCGTGGTAGCCCCTGGCTTGCAGCCTCGCCTCCCCTCCCCTGCACAGGCCTACTGAGCAGCTGACGGAAGAGGAAGAACCCATGAACCTCTGAGGCGCCAACGGCTCTGCTGCCTGCCCTGCCCTGCCCTGCCCTGCCCTTGGGACCGGGACCTCTCCCAGCCTCTGCTCCCAGGTCCCTGCAGGGCCTGGGCCAGGAGGGGGCAGAGCAGACCCCAGCACGCCTCAGGATGGGACGGAGGACGGGCTGGGGCCCACCCATAACCACTGTTCTCACCCTGCAGGCCCCAGACTGCACACAGCCCCACGCCCCACGCACAAATGTGAACTTGGCCTCGGCCGGGAGCCCCTGTAGGCTCTGTAGCCTGAGGGCCCCGTCCCTGGGGGAGAGCCCTCCCATCTCCGCGCCGTGGAGCCCACAGGTGCCCTGGGAGCTCTGCTTCCTGACCCAATGGTGCCAAACCTTCATCTCCCACAGGAGCACAGCGCAGCCCAGGGACCCTGTGATCCGGGGCCTCCCCTGCCAGCTGCCGCTCCTGCCCCACGGGGCTGGCTCGGCTGAGGGCGAGGGGGCCTCCCTGCCATCTTCAAGGCTTTCGGGGTCTAGGCCTGGGTCCAGGAAGGAAGGAGTGTGAGTGTGAGTGTGTGTGTGTGTGTGTATGTGCGTGCACAGGCGCCGAGCGTAAGACAGTGAGTCTGTGTGTGGTGTCTCCCCCACTATACCCTGTGCATGTTTTTGTAAAAAAAAAGGAAAAATGGAAAAAAAATCTGAACAATAAATGTTTTATTTGCTTTAAAAACGCCTGTGAGAGGACCGTGCAGTTCCGAGCCGCGTGCGGGGCTGGGCTCAGCTCTGCGGGAGGAGCCCGTTCTCCACCTACCTGGCCCTGCTGCCCCGCCCGCGAGGACAGGAGGCGCACCGAGGGAGGGAGCCCTGCCTTCGCGGCTCTGGGCCTGCCCGGCCTTTCCAGGCCTGCTCCTGAGCCTGCGGCAGCTGGGCAGGGCCTCGAGGTGGACAGCGGCACCCAGGGCCGCCGGGCGGGGCTGGCGGGACCCCCGTGACAGCCCCTTCCCGAAGGTCTCCACCCCGCGAGAAACCAGGGTCAATCCAAAGGGCCGACGCAGTGACCACAGATAAGGCAGAGCTGGGGCGGGGCAGGCCCGTAGTGGGGGGCAGTGAGGGGCATGGTGTGGGGGCAGGTGTGGGGCAGCAGCACGGCCCCCCGTGCCCCCCGGGCAGGCGGGTGCGAGCACACGTGTGAGGCGAGTGGCACTCTGGCCCTCGGCGACCCTTACAACGGGAGGGGGCTGCTGACAGCCCCTGGGCGGCGGCCGGGGCAGCAGGCCACAGGATCCCCACCCCACCTGTCACCAAGGATGCTTCCTCACCAGTGTCACCGGTGGCCCCGAGGCAGGACCCCGCCCCCACGCCCCTCGTCCTGAGACCTGTTTCCTGCCAGAGTCCTGGGTGCCCCCCGGCCCCATCCAGGTCAGAAGTCGCTGAGGATGCTGATGTCGGCGAAGTCTGCCCGGTAGCGGTGGGCATACAGGCCCAGCAGGAAGGCCCACTTGAAGGAGATGCAGCTCCACACACACGACAGGTAGTAGCCGCCGGGGTCAGTGAGGCCTGCGGGGGGAGCACCCGTCAGAGCCACGCCGGGGTGTGGCGGAGGCGGCTGAGCCTGCAGGGGTGCAGGGGGCGCGCAGCGCTGGGCAGGGGGCCATGCCGTCTCTGACCTCTGCCAGGCTACTTTCTGCCGCTGCCACCAGGGGGCGCGGCTCCCAGCTGCACGCTTCTTACCTCCCTGACCACTGCTCTCGGCAGCAACCCAGGGAACCCAGCATGGGGTGCAAAGAGGCCCCAGAGCCCCAGGGTCACCTCCACCTGCCCTGCTCCCCCCGGCCCCGGGGACGGCCCTCACTCTGGTGTTGGGTGATGGCCAGCGCGAGGAAGGTGCAGAAGGCGGCCACGGAGACGGTGGCGAAGAGGACACCCACGAAGAAGAAGCCACGAAGCCCCTTGAGCCAGGTCCTCCAGTAGTCCTGCTTGTACATGATATGCGTCACCAGCACCCAGAGCGCCAGCACCCCTGCGGGACAGGCGCGTCAGCCACACAGGGCCCACAGTGCCAGCACCCCTGCGGGACAGGTGCATCAGACCACCCAGGGCCCACAGTGCCAGCACCCCTGAGAGACCACCTAGGGTCCACCATGCATGTATACCTGAGACGCAGACCACCCGGCACCCACAGCGCCAGCACACCAGAGAAACGGTCAGGCCACCAGGGCCCACAGTGCACATATACCTGAGACACGGTCAGAGCGCCCAGCACCCACAGTGCCAGCACACCTGTAGGACACTGGGAGACCACCCAGCCCCCAGCCCTCCAGGTCCACCGGGCCGGGCATATCTGGGAGAGGCCGCTGAGAGGGCACGCCTTGGTCACTGGTTGCAGTGTGCACACAGGGCCACAGGCACTCATCACTTCCTAACGGGGTCCACGCAGACACCAGCCCCCACCGTCTCCTGTTCTGGACAGTGTGGACTTCCCTAAGACGTCCCTACACCGGCACTCTGCACCGCCACCCTCCAGCTTGTCAGCGTCCTGCTGTCCTCTCGTTCGGTGGGTGCTGACGAACGCCAAGCGAGCGGAATCTGCTGAGTTTCCCGACTTGTCCAGCCCGCAAAGGGGTCCTGAGAGGGAAAGTGTGGGGGGCCGCGGTGGCCCCACCTGCTTCCTGGGGACTTCCTGCCCCCAGCCCCCCGCCTAGTCTCAGGGTCCCCACCTGCACAGCAGGCTCCTCCAGGGCGGGAGGCTCCCAGGGCCACCGGGCAGGTGCCTGGCCTTCTTGACCTCGCGCTGTTCCCGGTTTGCAGCCAAGGGCGGCCGGGTACCCCCCAGCCTCCCCTGGGCCTGCCCTCTGGGCCTGGGTGGGCACCTCCCCCAGCACTGCTGCCACTCAGCCGGTACCATTCAGTCCTCGGTGCCAGGCAGTGCCTGGTGGCACAGCCCTAAGGCTGGAACAAATGTGGACTCCATTGCCAAGGGCCTGGGGCAGGGCAGCTGCAGGCTCCCGGCTGGCCCTGGGCATGGGCCACACAGGCTGTAGGCCCAGCAGCCTCCGAGATGCACGCAGCCAGCGTGGTCTCTGGCGAGGGCCAGTGAGACAGGCGCCCGACACCATCTGCTGCCCTGCTCTCTTAGGCCAGGCAGCCAAGGTAAGGGCATTGGTCAAATTGGCTGTCTCTTAACATGCCTGAAATGGCCCACGGTCTTAAGAAGTCGGGGAAAGCAGTCACCATGGAGCTCAGCATGACACCAGGCAGCCTTTGAGGGACATGGTCCCACGAGAACCTGGGCATGGCGCTCCCATGCCACCAAGGGGGTGGGCCCAGGGCTCTGCACCAAGAGGGCTGCTTCCCAACCTGCCTTGGGGCTGGGGGCTTGGCACGTGGGTCCTGCCACCCCGCAGGTCAGGGAGGGCCACTCGGGCATCTTTTCATGGCTGACCACGAGGGAAACACCAGCCCAGGCTTCTGCGAGCACCTGTGGCCTCCGTCCCCAGAAGTCTCTCCCGGTGCCAAGATGGGGGTACCCGGCTCGTTCTCAAAGGTCCTGGGGATGAGACTGAGTGCCACCGGGCACCGGCCCATCTGGGACAGGCCCACCAGCTCCTCCCCGCCCTGTCTCCTCCTGCCACAGGGGCTGGAGTCGGGGAGCTTTCCCCCAGAAGATTCTGGGAGCCAGCCTCAGAGACAAATGAGGTCAGAGTACTCCTCTGTGACTCAGCAGTTTCTGGGTTAGGAAATGCTGAGATGGGGCCCCCGAGGACGCCAGCTCAGCCCACTGGCCATGCCCCAAATGCCATCCCCAGCAACATGCTTACCCCCAACAGAGCTGAGGGTGGCTGTCTGGGGCTACTTCACTTGCCTCCCTCCACCCTCAGCCCTGCCCAGCCCCTTCCTACGCCCCCTCCTCCACTAACTGGTCTCCCCAGCTCAGCCCACCGGCCATGCCCCAAACTCCCATCCCTGTCCCCCCACCGAGTAAGATGCCCTGGGACTCCAGGAAGCCCGGTTTGCACAACCTGGGTGAAGCAGATGGGTGCCCAGGACCCCCTGGCTACCAGTCCATGCCAGCCCTCGTGCTGCCTCCCCCTCACCCACTTCAGGGGCCCTGCTGAGCTCTGGGCTCCCAGCCGGCTGGCCAAGGGCTCCCAGGGATGTCTGGACCACTGTGCCCTTGGCCAGCCAGCTGGGAGCCCGGCCGAGGTGAGGAAGGGTTAGGTGCAGCGGGGAGCCCAAAGGAAACCACAGAGAAGCAGGACGGTGCCTGGGTCAGGTACAGCCCAGCTCCTCCGGTGGGAGGAGAGGCCCAGGGCTCCCTGCCGACAGCTCTCAGAGCAACGGAGACCCTGGGCAGGAGTCACGTCCCCCTGTCCCCAGCCAGGAGGGCTCTGCCCGCAGGGCTCCAGGGCGGACCTGACACAGCCCCAGAGCTGCTCCCGGTGACTCAGCAGCTTCTGCCTAGGGAAGTGCCTGTCCGTGCAGCGCTCACGAGCCGGCGAACCTGCTGACTCCTCGTCCCCAAAGAGGAAGCCCGGCTGGCTGCAGACCCCATCTGCCCGCCGCCGCGTGGTCTGGCTCTCCCGGGCCACCTCAAAGGCTCTGTGCAAGGACGCTCCCCCGCCGGCCTGCCTCAGCACCCAGAGAGGGCAGGGCCTGGCCAGGCAGGGCGGGCACAGGGAGGGACCACACCTCAGCCCTGGAGGGAACCCAAGCTCTCGGTGGCTTCTCCCCACGCCACTTACGCAGCGGAGGAAACAGGCCCAGGAGGCACCCACATGCCCGGCAGCCCCCCCCCCCAACCTCCCCCGGGTGGGCCCCTAACTGTCCCCCTTCTCACAGGTCCCAGCACCCATAGGACCCCGGTGGTGCACAGGGTGCAGAGGGGGAGGGGAAGGGAGCTAGGCTCCATGGGAGTGAGCAGCCCCAGGGCACCCCGTGTTTCTCTTGGAATTGCTTGGCCTGGGCCTGTACAGGCTCCTGTAAGGTGGGGACCCCCCCCACCAGTTCCTGCTGCGACCTGCGAGGGCCATGAGGAGATGAGGGTTTCCACTGCAGGCCCTTTGGGCTGAAGGTTCTGGGGAGGGGGGATCGGGTCAGCGGGTGTCAAAGTATCCCCTCACCACACTTCTCCTGCACAAGCGTGCAGCCCTGGGCAAGCTGTTCACTGACTCCGTCTCTGCCCCCGGACCCGTGAGGCCGGCTCACTGATGACACCCACCTGGAGGGGCTCCCGAGTAGGGACGCAGGCACTGCAGGCCACACAGAGCAGCTCCACCGCGAGCGCCAAGGTGCACAGCAACAGGCCTCGCTCGGAGCCGCAGCCGGCGATGGCTCCTAAGCCCTTCGGCTCCCTGCCGGACTCCGCTGGCGCTGTGTCTGCGCCGGCAGGCAGGCGGAACGACTCCCGAGGGTCCCCCAGCCCTCTCCCTTCCCCAGCACCCCGCACTAGGTGCAAGGGGCGCTGGAGGGGCGGGGGCCGCCCAGGCCTGAGCGTGGAGGGGCGCCCCGCTGAGGGCAGGCTGAAGTGAGCGCGGCGGAAGCAGAGGGGTCCGGAGGGGCGCGCCCGGGAGGCCAGCGGGCAGGGCGCCCTGGGCGCGCAGCTGATCCGGACGGCACCGGGGACGCCCAGACCCTGGCCCCTCGGGGCCTGCGCTGCCATTGCGCGTGTTCGGCCGCAGCCCCCAACCCTTCCCACTCCCGTCGCTCCCGGAACCGCAGACGGAGCCCGCCCCGTGTCCCCAGCGCCCCGGGGTACCTGCGAGCCCGCCCATGGCCGCGGTCGCCGGCTGTCTGTAGACCACGGTCCAGACGAGGAAGATGGAGTAATAGGCTACAGAGCTTACATTCTGGTATGGAGTGCGGATGACCAGTTGCAGCCTCGAAGGTGCCTCTTCTGCACGCGACGTGCGAAAGCGAGTCATACTATAGCAGGTGCATTCTGGGCGGACTCAATGGCCCTGTGCCCGACGAATCTCTTTTGGATTCCCATGCCCTGGACTGCGTTCAGGATCTTATGTCACAGGATACAATGAGACCTTTTGCTAGCTATTTTGCTGCACTTAAGTCAGTTCTCTACCTGG